TTCGGGGGAACAAAATAGTGAAGGCCGCCCTTACCAAGAGCCCTAAGACGGGAGGGGAAAAAAAAAAAAAAAAAAAGAGCTGCCGGAATGCAGCTGCAGAGAGGTTCAAACAGAGAAAATGAGGAATATAAAAGGGGTTTTGCAGCCCATTGTACCTCCCTGGACCCTCGTTGCCAAATTGTGCGTGCTCATCTAACTGTCGACGAACAGATCGTGTGTTCGAATCTTGTGGAGAATCAACCATTTGAGGACTACCGAGCTTCTATACCCGCTTTTTCAAGGACCCAGTACGTCCGTGCCTCTTTTTGTATGAGGCTCATTTTGTCCCACTGTCCGCCACGCTTCGCCGAAACGCCAGCGCAACGTTTTTGTTTAGTTTTCGCTGGTGCGGCCAGCCATTTTGGTGCGGATGCCCCGAGCGCCCGGTTTTCGGAGCGCGGCTCAATTGTGACTCTCAAGTTGGCTGGGGCCATGTGCTGGTGGCGTAAGGGAAAAAAAAAGGGTGGCTCTGCAGCATTAGCAGCAATCACCAGTTGAAGTTGAAGTTGAAGTTAAAGGGAGGGTCCTTTCATGTGTGTGTTGATGCGCGGAAGTGGTAGAATTTGAATTCGGAAACCGTGCATATTTATTTTTATTTTTTTATTATTATTTTTTGTTTTGAAACCGTGCGTTGCAATCGTGGAACTTTAAAGTCTTCAGATTGAGAATCAGGCAGGCTTTTTGTTTTTTTCTCGCCTCTTTCTTTGTTGCATTATCTTGTTTGTGACTGAGCTTAAGATCCGAAAGGAGGGGGGGGGGGGGGGGGGGGGGGGGGGGGGGGGGGGGGGGGGGGGGGGGGCGGAGAGAGGAGTGAGGAGACGGTTCTTCCTTCCTAGTAGGGGTGAACTTTGTGTGCTGCGCTCTTTAATAAAAAGGGACGGCGTCTCCGAAGGAAAAAAAAAAAAGAAAAAAAGAAGGAAATCTCTGCGTTCATCTGACCTGCCCGTCTTTCATTTTCGCTTTTGTGTCACACAGTCTGTGTTCAGCCTCTTGATGCTTGATGAATAGGTGAAACTCCGACGGAACAGTCTGTCACAGGCACTCGTTCGTTGTGTCCTCGTCTCCCACTCTGCCTACGGTTCACTGGAAAGTTCTCTGTGGCAATATATAGCGCTCAGCCGCCTGATGAGTCAGTGGAACTCCAACAAAACAGTTGGTTACAGCCCCTGCTGTTTTCTTGTCTTTTTTTGAAGTTCTTCACTTTTTCTTTTTTCATCCTTGTGTGGGGGCCATGCTAATCTTCTCTGTATCGGTCCAATTTTAACGGTTGTCCGGACCCAAAAAAAAAAAAAAAAGTTAAAAAAACAGAATTCCAAAAAAATCTGAAAGCAATATATGTTATGCAGAAGAATAAACTAAACAACATTTGCCTCAACAATACATCCAAATTCTTTACCAAATTTGAAATAAAAATCAAATACTAAAAATAAATAATAATAATGAAAATTAGAAAAAATAAAACGAGCGAGCACGTTTTTGACACTGCCATCTTTGGCGACTTTTCATTTTGTTTTGGCTGTGACAAATGCCATGAAAACTTATATATGTGTATCTTACATAATGGAGAATCTACAAATAAAAGTTTGAAAAAATAATATTTTTTTTCATGCCCCGAAATAAAGGAAAAACAAACAAAAAATGGAAAGAGAAAAAAAAACAAATTAGTGAGTGGGCAAGCAAGTTTTGACACCACCATCTTTGATGATTTTTCTTTTTTTTTTGGCTGAACAGAATGGCTTCAAAAATTAAGAGGGAGATACTTACATCACAAAGAACTCACCAAAAAAAATCAAATATAGCTTGTTTTATAGCCTGAAAAATCCTGAAAATCCTGATGCATGAAAAAAAGTTAAAAAAACACTTTTGCCTTGCTGTTTTATATCTTTTGAAGGTTGGTTTTTCAACTTTGTTTTTGTACATAGTTAGTATGGTCTTCACTCTCTGAATGGGTGCCAAGTTTGGTTAAAATGACCCTTGGGGTTTTCTTATAAATGGCCTGACAAGTGGTCTGAAAATTGAGGCCTCCGGTAACCGTCTCTCGAAATCCTTAAAAAAAAGTGTGTTACACTCCTCTACCCTTTTTTTTTTTTTTTTTTTTTTTAATCAGAATGGTTGAACATCGCCCTTCTACCCTTTGGGGGACAAATTAGTAATTACGATTTGGGATCTGGAAAGCAAAGCAATGAACCTGGCCAGAGGGCCGTCATGATGCAGACAGAAATCATTCCAAAAAATCCATCAGAGCAAGTTGTTGCCACATTTTGGTAATTCTGCTGATAGGGCCCGGAAGTTTCATCCTGTTTTTCTGTTTGTTTGTTTTTTTGTTTTTTGAAGGTTTCATCATGTGAATGCTAAAGAAAAAGGAAATAAAAAAATTATTAAAATTCTGAAGATTCAGTGAAGAAGTTAAAAGAACACAAAAATAGTTCTTGGAACAACAGAGGCTCAATTTGCTAGATAGTATATCTTGTTGTGCCAGTAAAAAAGAAAACTTGCAGGTTGCAAAACTTGCAATCATAGCTGTGTGAGTGGGTGGATGACAGATCCAGGAGACATGGTGTGTTTCCTAGCTGTCCATTCAAACTCTGTGTCTTTCCCTTCCTTCCTTTTTCCTTTCCCTTTCTCTTCGTCTCGTTGATTTTTTGGGTCGTTGATGCCTGCGATTCGCATGGTCGTTGCCAGAGAAACCCTCTTTCCATTGTTTTCAAGTCGTTGGAGAATACCTGGGGAAGTAAGGCATCTCTCTCTCTCTCTCTCTCTCTCTCTCTCTCTCTCTCTCTCTCTCTCTCTCTCTCTCNTCTCTCTCTCTCTCTCTCTCTCTCTCTCTCTCTCTCTCTCTCTCTCTCTCTCTGTGTGTGTGCGTGAGTGCCACCGCTGCACTTTGCATGCAGTTGTTTCTATGGCCTTTCCTTGTGTGTCAGTGTCCTGATCTCTTGCGCCCTACCTCCTCGGGAACCCAATGTATGGATGCCCAAGTAATTAGAGGAAGTCTGATGGCCTTGATTTTCTTGTTTTGCTTGAAGGTTTCAGCATATAGCCAGATCTTTTTTTTTTCCTTCGAACTCCATGGATGATCGTGCATTTGCTTGCTTTGGATATAATTGCACATTGATTGATGGATTTTTCACGTAAAGCAGACCCCGGACGAGGTATATTCGGATTCGTTGTTCGATGTTCATCAGGGTAATTGGTGTGTGTGCGTATGTGTGTGTGTGTGTGTGTGTGTGTGTGTGTGTGTGTGTGTGTGTGTGTGTGTGTGTGTGTGTGTGTGTGTGTGTGTGAAGGGTTGTGTGCATGTATGCATGCCATGGCACACACTCTCTTCCAGGCAGGGCTCAGGTGAGAAGACCGGCATGGCAAGAGCCATGCTGCAGGAGGGGATACCTTATGATGATACGGGAACACTACTTTGAGAGGGCGTGGCCAAAACGTCCTGTGTGGAATACTTTGTAGGCGCGGGACAGACACATGCAATAGCTGAAGGCAGCAAAAACTATGCTGGAGCATCTATGGCGTGAATGCCGCTGCGGTATGACCCAGAATATAGACAATCAGTACATCACAGACAAACACACAAGAAGGGGGAACGAAACAACAACGAAGCCAGGGGCAGGGAGGCAATGCGGTGAGCCTGTCAAATGGCAAGCCTCAACAAGGCACATAGACTGGAGGGCATGGAGGGAAGGGGGGAAGCAAATGCAAATAAAGGTTAGGACAGCACATAGACTGGAGGGAAAGGGGGAGATGGGAGGGTAGGCAACACACAAGAACACAGGTCAGGGAAGAGACCACCACCAACAACAAAGAAAAAAAAGTACGACCAAGCCGGGAAACAAAAGAGCAAAAAA